CTGCGGTGAGTAGATTCTAACTTAATCACCTCTGATTGGCCATTGCGTTCCAGAAATCAACAGCTGAGTCTGTGATTGGCTACATTGCGCAACCTTTTAAACACGTGTTATAAATAGAAACTATGCCTAGCTTGCGCATGGTCAATCATTTTAATGTTAATATTAGTTGTTCTTTTTGCTTTTGTGCAACAGATAAATAACAATTTATATGTTTTAAACACTTTATGTTTAGATCATTTCTATTTTGCGGGAGTCCCGCGAATCATTTTATTCTCCCGCATCCCGCACACACGAGTCTCTTCCCGCCCGCACCCGCACTCGCCCATCAAGAGTTGTCCTGCGCCGCACCCTGTTGGGTTGGGTCCCGCGGTCCTCCCAGTGCAGGTCTCTAACTTGAGGCTCATTTCAAAAGGACAATAAGCATTTTTTTTTAAGGTTGTAAGCGACTATATAAAATATATATATAATGCTCAAACTACTGTTCAAAGGTTTGTGTCCAGTAAGATGTCTTAACTTTTTAAATAAGTCTTTAAAAGTACTGTAAAAACAGTAATATTGTTAAATATTATTACAATTTAAAATAGTTGATTTCTATGTGAATATACAGTGAAGATCAAAATTAGAGAACAATCTATAAATGATTTTTTCTGAAATATTGTTTATTAGCCTTTTGATTCTTTCTGCAGATGAGAGGCTTGGTCACTGCAGAGTGTGCTTTCAGTCCGGTTTCTCTTAAACGTGCCGAGACAGAACCTTACTCTGTTCAGCGCTGAACTGACGAGCAATTCCAGCTGCAGTGCTGAACCGATTCCCTACTGAGAGTCTCTGCATTATCCTGTCTTCTCCTGCATTTGTCTTACGTGGACAACCAGATGAATTAGTGTCATTGTAAAGCTGCAATATTCTACAAATCACAGATTTAGAATGACCAGCTTCTCCTGCAGTGGCTGAAAGGGTCGTCCCTTTGGCCTTCATCTAGACAGCCTCCTGGTCGCAGGCTTTCAGTCACCTTAGAGCGGCCCAATCTCAGTGAAAATTAGAGGAATGCTGCCTGTTAAATAGGGTTTGTCAGACAATTAAGGAAATTAGCACCAGGTGCCAGATTAACACCGATAGCTTGGAAGTATCCGTAAATGTTCTCTAAATTAAATTTTGAGTTATTTTTCCAATATCTCATTTAAGTTTTTATACTGTGCTTCAGAATACAATTAATTTATGAAATGTGCTTAAAAAAACTGCTCTTCTACTCCTCCTACTCCTGTTAGAATAACTTCAAATAGAACTAAGCAGTGACCTTGAAATTTAGGAAACTGTAGGTTGTTCTTTAATTTTGATCTCCACTGTATAGCAAAATGTCATTTATTTCTGTGATGCGCAGCTGTATTTTCAGCATCATTACTCCAGTCTTCAGTGTCACATGATCTTCAGAAATCATTCTAATATGCTGATTTGCTGCTCAGGAAACATTTCTGATTATTATCAATGTTAAAAACAGTGTTAGTAAATATTGTTGTGGAAACCATGATATATTTCAGGATTCTTTGATGAATAGAAAGTTCAAAAGAACGGCATTTATTTGAAATAGAAATCTTTTGTAACAAAAGTGTCTTTACTAGCACTTTTGATCAGTTTAATGCATTCTTGTTGAATAAAAGTATTCATTTCTAAAATAAAAAAAAATAAAAAAATAATTAAAACAAAATAATAAAAAATAATAAAATAATTCCAGTGCAGTACCTGGGATCTCCTGGCTGTGGTTTCCTGGCTCCTAACTCTTCTCGCCGAGCCTCGTAAATATGATTTATGACACCATTTCCCAGCTCACACATCAGCTATACAAAAATAATTGTATTATTCATTCATATATAAGAACTGAAGGTTTTATTTTTTATTAGAAAGCTAGACAATCTTGGAATGAGAAGAGAAAAAAAAAAACATCTTGTCAAATGTTTTGTTATAATAAAACATGTTTTTTAATGGAAATTAAGATCTGGACAGATGTTTATGTTCTCTAACAAACATCTGTCCATCCGTATGTTCATCGTGTCAGGAGCGAAGCCTCGCGTCTCCAGACTCACCTTGAGCAGTTCAGGCTCCCACGTGTCCAGCGTCAGAGATCTGACCTTCGAGAAATGAACGCCAAGACTCCTGACAAACAAAACCCCAGCATTTGTAATAAAACACACAAAACCTTCCCTAATACTTGCGGTCGAACAAACACACACACACACACACACGCGCAGGCAGGCACACTCACTCACTCACACAGGTTTGTTTTTGTGAAAAGTGGGGACATCCCATAGGCGTAATGGTTTTTATACTGTAC